GAGAAACATGCCCCAAAACTGCGGAGGGGAAGAGCAGCGAGGATGGTGGTGGTGGTGGTGAGACCAGCAGAGGGATGAGAAAGAGAAAGGGCAGATTTATGGTGCCAAGTCACACTGTTGAGAGCAGAGGAGGCAGGGCTAGAGCAGGCACAAGTGGCCAAGGAGAAATCTCACAGCTTTGGGTGAGACCAGCCAGCAGAGTCAGTGCCTGCAAGCTCTGGGAGCTGAGCTGACAGGGCTTCAACCAAGAGAGCGTGGACTGGGGGAAAACTTGATGTTGACTCTTCTGAGAGGCTGTAAAATTGAAGTTATGAAAATAGTGAAGCATGGCAGAGGGCCACTGAGTTAGGTCAATTCCCCACAACTGGAGTTTGGATTGTGAGCAAAATAGGCTGGGAGTGGCCGACCTGCTGTGTAAAATGGATATGGATTTATGGGTCGGGCATGTGAGATAAGGCAGTGACAGGCAGAGATATATAACTCACTTAAGCCACTGCAGAACTGGTTGGTTAGTGACTGGCTGTGCTTTTCTCCTTTTAGTACAAACTAATGAAAAACAAAAAAAAAAAAGGAGCAAAGAAAATACTTGAAATAAGTTTTTACAGAGCTGGTTTCATGGGTTGGAGTAGATGGTTGCCCTTGCACAATAACTCATCTAGGCTTTCTCAGCAGCTCTTTCAAGGCTGAGAGCTTTTGCTTTGCAAGTCTGGTGCATAATAAAACACATTCTGCATTTTACCCCATTTTAGGCATGTCCTAAGTGTATCAAGCCTAATTTCTACAAGCTTCCCTCATCTGCACTAACCAAACTGAGCTGTGTGCCCTGAGCTGTGTTTGCCTCAGCACAGTCCTGCTGCGTGTTGTCTCAGCACCAGTGGGTGCTATAGTTACAGGTATGTCCCAGCATCTGTTCCCCCTCATCAGTGGACTCTTTAAAGAGGTAAATGATGAAGGGCTGGAGCCAAACATGGGACAGCTCAAGGGAAGTGCTGCACGAAGCAGCAGCACCCCTCTCACTCAGTCCAGCTCCGAAATTGTTTAGACTGAAGAGCTCTGCGTGACTGCAAAATAGTTCCTATCAGATGCTAATACAAAGAAACAGCAAAGAGTTTCTCAGAGTCAGGAGGCCATTCTTAAACTGTTGTTTTGTCACATGGCTTTTAAGTAAGTTTTTACAGCTTTTTAAAAATTAAAGTCAAGTTTAGGTGCAGCCCTCGAGCCAAATCCATAATCTTGCCATAGCTGGTGCTAATGATGTACAGTTGGGTCTGAGAATCCTGTGAGCTTGTTAAGAGAAAAGGCATTATTTATCTGTACATCTACAGTCCTAGCATCATCTCGGGTCCTCAAGAGGAACCTTTGAACTTCAGGTTGAGTCTTTGCAGCCCAGGAGGACCTCCTGGTCAGTTCAGACCCTGTGGCTCAGGGGTGCACTCACCTCAGGGGGGGAGCAGGCTGGTGAGCAGTCAGCTCACAGCAGCCTCAGTAAGGACATTTTTGGCCAAAGATGTGATTTAAATCCAGGTCGTATTATGTGCTCAGCTAATTTGCTTGTACTTTCTTTGGCAAGGACCTGGGGACGTGCACACGTGCCTAGATTCACAAGCCCTTTCCATCTCCTCCTGTGTGGAAACAGGCACTGCTCCTGTTTTTCCTGTGCAGGATCTGTGATCTATTCTGGTAGCTGCATAGTGCAGCACTGCCTCCAGTAAATACTCACAGATTTCCTTGGAAGCTGATGCTTTTTCTTCTTTCCTCTCTCCTGTGTGGATACACAAAGACATGTGTTGTACCTGCTTTACCCTGTGGGATCTACATAATCAGGTCCATGGGTTTTAATGATTTTCAACTCCCTTCTGTCTACAGCTAGAGTTTCCTGTCCTGTTTGGAGCAGGAAGAGCCGAGTCTTTATTCCTGCTTGCCTAGGCTTTGGGAAGAGTTCTCTGGCTATTTTCCTGTTTGATTTTTGTGTGTGTTTTGTTTTAAGCAGGACAGAGTGCATGTGTGTATGTAATCCATGTACTCAATTAAGAGAGGCATCTGTTGGGTTTATTTCACATTGCCGAGGAAAGACTGCAAGCAGGGAGCATCTGCTCAGCTTTTTGTCAATGGCTTGTTTTTCATAATTTGCTCTACAGGGTGAATGTTTGGGGAGGGGGAGGCAGCTTTTTTATTTCTGAGTTTCATCTGAAATTTATTTTTATGGTATCCAGAGAAATTGGCTGGGATTTGAAAGTTAATTTCGCTAAGAAAAAGAGCTGAAGAGGGAGAAACAAAACCACCCAAAGTAAATAGGATTTATGTAACCTTAGCAATGCACCCTTACAAACCATTTTTTCCCAGTATTTTAATGAGAAAGTAAAAATAATTTGTTATGGTGTGTTTTTAATGCTAATGACTTTTTTTTGTTTGTTTGTTTTGTATTTAAAAAAAAGTAGCAAATTTTTGTTAATTTTATTTTGGGGAAAGATAGGAAAGGCATCCAACACTAAGAAGCTTTTTTGGCATTTTGTCAACAGCAACAACAACAAAAAAGAAGTCTGGTTTTAAAATAGAGCAGCAGTGGTTTCCTGTTCTTACAGTTTTTGCTTTTGTGCCTTCAGATGTTGGCTGTATTGCACCTAGCTGAACTAGTAAGAGGTTTAATTGTCTGTGAATGTACGTGCTACAAAGGCTGCTAAACCCGCTGGGAGTGTTTTATACAAGTGTGCTCTCTACACTTTTTTTTTGGTGGAAACATCCTCCAAAAGATGATGACTTTGCCCCGGGAGGACGTGGCTGCTGGCGTAGTGTAGGCAACTCAGGAGGAGAAAGCCTGAAACTCCTGCTAATCCCAGAAGTGAAAGACAAACCTTACCCCTCACAATCAAACAAACAAGGACACGGCCGTGCGAGCGTAGATGTAGGGGCTGTGCAAAAGGATCCTGAGTGCAAGATTTGGGTCTTACTGGAAGTATTTAAAGAGGGGAGATGAAAAAAAATAGTGATTGTGTCTTGTTCTGTAAGTGAAGCCCAAGCCAGCACATTTATTGAGACGTTTTGAAGTGGTTTTCAATCTGTATCTCCCATGCCACAAGTTGCCACGGAAGAGGAAGGGTGAAGTGTTAATAAAAATAACTTCCCTGACAGTTCCATCCTGCTCCATAGCAAGAGAGTACACATATATATATATGTATATAATTTGAATATTGTATAATGTATCACAATATAACTATGGATAGCTTTTCTGTCAGATGATTACCACTCAGCTGAACAACTTTGCTGACATCAGTTAGCAGTTTAACCACTTTACAAGAAGCAGCCAACAGCAGTTGATGTACAAAATGTAAATGTGGGGCTGCCTGCAGACAAGATTTACTTCTGGGGCTTCGTGGAACCTGAGGTGTAAATGCACAAACCACAACAAACTTCGTAGTGGCAGGAAAGTATTTTCATTGCTTGAAAAAAAAAATAAAATTCAAACTTTGTCGTCACATTAAAAACATTACATGGGATGTAATAAACATATTTACACTTCTGTTTTGATTATAAATATACATTATATACAAAATAATGTTATAAAACGTAGAAAGTTCAGTGCTTCTGATTTTTTTTTTTTAAATTACTGAAATACTAGTCTTCAAAATAAACTACAAACAGACAAACTAAAACCCATATTATTGATTTCTGAAGGTCATCTTCAACGTGGTCCTACGTGGTCAGAGCAGAAGGTCAGTAGTGGACATTACGAAGGGGTCTTGTCTGCACAGTTCAAGGCAGTAGGTGGGCTAGTCCAACAGGGTTTACAAGGGCAGGAATATTGCTGTCCCAGAGATAGCAGAGTCCAGGTTTCTTCTAAGAGATCTTGTTTCCTCCCTCCTCATTCTGCCCCACCCCACAGTCTCCTTTCATCAGTAACACAGCACTTTCCACTGGGCTGTTTGATATTATTGCTGTAAATATGTATAGAAGAGAAGAAGCTCCTGCACGCCTCTGGTTTCCAGGGCCAAGCTTCCCCTTTTCCATGTAGCAGTGGGTGGGTATGGAAGAAATGGGGCGAGCCCAGAACCTTCTACCTCTGATCTCCACCTGTCTTGGCAGAGGGTGTCTCGGTGGGTGCTCCGCCGTAGGGCATTTAGAACCTGGATGAAGGACAGGAGCTGGAGTTTTGCAGCCAGATGGAGAAATGGGGCAGGGGGTGTGCGTGGGTGTGTGTCTCACTGCTTCTTCTCCTTCAGAAAATAACAGCTGCAATTTTGAGACTATTTGCAGTACAAGGTGGCACCTAATTCAGAAACACGACACAAACCCCCAGATTTGTGTCCAAGTAAGGCTGGGGATGGGGGAGGGAGGGGGGAAGAATGAGGAAGGAGAAGAAAAAAAGTAATGTCTATTCACAATCACTGGTAGTGCAAAGGGCATGAAAACAGCTGAGACAGCTCAGCACAGAAAGGTTCTAGGAGCTGATTGATTTTAAACGCATCTGTAAGGCTTTAAATAGAGCTGGGATCATGCCTCCTCCTTATCAACAGGGAAGAGGCACTCCTTATCACTACTTGTCCTTCTCAAATGTTTAAATACACAAAAATCCTATCCTGTATTGTGGCTTGGGTCAATCAGTTCTCCACAGCATCACCAGGTGAGATGACAGGTAAATTCAGCATTCCTCTTTCCTTCCTCCTCTCACCCCTTACACAGTCTCCAGTCCATGCAGCAGGAGAGAGGAGAGGCAAATAGATGTGTAGCAGGAAGTATCGACCATCCCTGCCCAATACTGTTCAGGTAACTGCAAAAAGAGCAGTCAAGTCTCTGTTTGGGCTTCTTAGATTCTCTTGACACATTTTAGGCACTTTTAAAACCCAGAAAACAAAAAAAAAAAAAAAAAAAAGAAAAGGAGACCTCGTTTATGCTGTATCCATTATCTGCATAGCAATGTGTCTGTCTTCACACCTTCTGTGGCAACATCTGTGATAGTCCTAAGTGCCTCCTCAACTACTGGCACCTCCCATAACCAGAGTTCTGGAAAGCCAGGGGTCTGTCCACGAGGAACTGGCCTCAGTTATCGTTTAAAAAGGAATGAAAACCACAACATTTTTAACCCCTTTCTCTTCCCTCTGCCTCCCCTCTTCTATAGCACATGATATTTCTGGTATCGAACTTCAAACAAGGGCAGTAAGAACAAAAAGGTGTATTGCATCTTTCAGGAAATTCACAGTCTGTCCAGTTCACCCAGTTCCATCCTCCGCCTGAGAGCAGCAAGTTGCATGTAATTAAAAACAGTCCAATCCAGTTCTGAATTGTAAACAATGCAGCAGGAACATCCATCTACTGGCATTACCCACTCTGAGGTGCAAATGGGCAGATCTTCAGCCTTATACCTGTGGGGACATAAAATAACACCAGGAATGAGAAGGAGGCACAGAGTACCACTGAATTAACACATTGTAATTAAAGCATGTCAAACCAGAACGATTTAAGACACACATTACTCATTGTTCCATGTTTTTGACTGGGTCCAAAACAGACATAGAATCACCAGTGGAAAAAAAATATATGATCAACAGCATCTCCACCTGCACTGAGGAGAAGAACGCTTACAAATCTGGGGGCTTAACACCAGGTCACTGTAAAAAGCATATGGTATAGGAAAATAGCTTGTGTTCAGAAGCATTAAGCCTGAACATTGCAGAGGGAGGTTTCAGGGGCTGTCACTCTGAAAATAAAAACACTTCTGGAGATGTCTGATGTGAATCTGGCAGTCTAGCTTTGGTCAGCAAGATCTTCAAAGGAAGCTACGGTGTCCAGGTGAACTGATGGGAATGAAGCATCTAACTGTCATTTGTGTCTTTGAAAATCCTTCTGCTGAGTCTTAAACTTTTACTATTGTTGGTTGACTTGTGTTCCAGCTTGCCTTCAGGAGGAAATCTGACACGGGCCCTGGGAAGGGAGGCAGAATCCTGCAGGTCTGACTTCGCAGATAGCTGCTGTACAGCACAGCAAGCTTCTCTTTTCTGGAGTCTGGAACTAGTCCTAAAGCCCAGTGCTAAGCCCTCCCTTTCTCCTGTATCTGTCCTCTGACTTTTTGATATAACATCAAAATCCAGATGTGTTTATCAATAACAGCACTAGCTTCTGTTAGAGCATATATATAGCCGGAGGCTTAAACGCCAAGAGGCTGAAATTCACTTATTACAGACTTCCTAAATAGCTGTTATGCCTATTTGTGAACACATTCAGCTGCCTCCTATCTTCTGCTGGAAATCTGTGGCTTTGCCTGTTTCCACAGAACACAGATTATCCCTTGTAGTCACGGGAAAAAATGTGGCTTTATATCAATGGGCCTATGAACGATTATTATTTCCATTTTTGCTGACTACCTGTTTAAGAAGAAATAATCCTCCGTGTGCTGAATTTTTATGGGCTGATGTTCTGTGCTTTCATCTCCCACTGACTTCTCTAAGCTCAAATTCTCTGGGTTAATAAAATCAGAGCTGCCAATTCATTTTTCCCCACTGTAAGTTCCGTGTGGAACACAGGAGAGGAAAGGTGAAGGCTGGGAAGCATCGGGATCCCTGGAAATGGAATAACCTTCTCAGATGTAATTCTAAGGGATAATTTATCCCTTTACTTGGTGAATTTATGCCTGTCCAGCTGTGTGCTTTCTTACCTCTGTGGCTATGATGCACTCATTCCTTTCTTCTGTTATGACAAAGACGGACTGGTACATGGAGTCCCTCGGAGAGCATATCGCTGATATCCTACACTCCGGCTTCTCACTGCGGCAGGGCAGAGAGGAGAGAACCTTAGATGGTTACTAACAAGCCCAACTCTCAAAATCTACCATGAACACAGAGGGGTGGAGTGAGCTAGTCGTGGGGGCCTGGGAAGGAAGTGCAGAGGATGAAGTCTGCACGTTCTGCAGGATGGCAGGGTGTTATACTGGAATGTGGAAGTGAGGAATAGCCACTGTCCTCCCAGGCAGCTGCTACCTCCAACCCAACAGTGTGCTCCTCAGAGCCCTCCGTGTAACAGCCACAACCACATCCCAGGCCAGACTTTCAGTACCAATGTCAGAAGCCTGATGAGTCAGTGAATAGCTGCCCTTTCTTTTCTTACTCTATCATTCTTCTCAAGAAGCTCGTTTTGCCTTCTTAATAAACAAAACACTTATTTCTAATCATGGGAAGCCTTAGCTCTTGTTCCTCCAAGATCTACTGAGGAAGGAAAGGCACCTCTTAGGCTCACCACTGACCTAGCCACTCCCGTTGCCCTTCTCAGCACCCACACTAGCAGCACCCTCCACAAACACTCAGCTTCACTGACTTAGCTAAGGATACCACTTGGCTGTGACACACACACTCCAGTATGAAGACCCTTGGCTTTGCTCTGGGTTGCTTTATAGGATATCTGCTCAAGATTTCTTTTTTCCTCTGTATTTTCTCCTCTGCTTCTAGACTGGCATGAAGACAAGAGGCTTTAAGAAAGACTAGAAGGAGGACTGTATTCCTACCTGTGTAGTCGGAGGGGAGACTTCTCTCCTAAACACTTTTCACTTTTGTAGTATTTATCCTCCTGTGGCCCTCTACTTGTTAGGTCTTTTACCAGATTGTAGTCCAGTTTATGATTCTTGGGTTTGTAGTTTGATTTCTCCAGCCCACAGTCCACTTCAAGGTCTTTATTTTTGTTGGTGTTTTTGAGCTGGGAAGCCGGAATGAGATTGTCCTTCTGGAAGTCAGAGAGGTTGTTCATTGTCTCCAAGTCCTGCTCCGGGTGCATCCTCATCTGCCTGATGACCATTGCTATCATGCAGAACAGTATGAGCAAAGCCACCAGCCCCACCCCCATGGATATAGCAATCCAGGGGACTGGTTTAGGAGGAAGTGTAACGGGCACTGAATAAACTGGCAATTCACAACGGTTGCCCATGAAGCCAGAAGGACAGTAGCAGACAAACTTGGCACTATAAAGCCCGCTGTAGCACGTCCCTCCGTTCTCACACGGCCCAGAAGCACATTCATCTCTGGTTTTGATGTCACAGTTCCTGCCACTGTAGCCTGGCAAGCACGTGCAGGTGTAGTCGTTGATCAGATCGTGACAAGTTCCCCCATTGGAACACGGGTTTCTGGCACAGTCATTGATGTTTATCTCACATTTCTGACCAGAGAAACCAGGCCGACAACGACACACACGAATCTGACCAAGGTAAAAGCAATTGCCATCTGAGGGAAAAAA